CAACAAATGATTTATTGGGATTATTTACAAAACTTCTGAATTATTTACAAAACTTAAAATACTCCCATATTTTAACATTATTAGCGCATATTGAACATTAAACATGTATTTTTTATTGTCTAAAAGATATTTAAAACATTTTTTTACCATTTAAAAAGTGAATTATTGCTTGGGAGAACTTACTTGAGTTTGAGTTTAAAACGTATTTACTAATTGATTTACTTTATTTGTATTTGTGTTAAAAACTGGAATTAATAAACAAACAAATTTGTGATTTGTATATATATATATATATATATATATATATACAGCTTTCCAAACTTTGTGTTACGCAAAAGTAAATTCATAAGACATCTACTGAAGGCCAAGTTTCTCATAATATAAATCTGACTAAAAGCTCAGCAACTTGTTAAACTTCTAAAATGAACAGAAAATGCTTTCACAACTTTTCTACGGGATAAAAGTACTCTTGCTAGTACTTTGAATTCGTTGTCAATAATATAGTTAACAGATTCTTTTTGTAATAATTCGATTTGACGGTCGTAGGAAATGTAAATAATTATAATATAACAAAAACATTGCGTTACATTATATTAATATATTTATATGAATTACCGAAAGAACTGATGCAAGATCTTAGACATAATATATATTTCTAAACATTTTTTAATATTGTCTTACCCCAACAAAAATATTCAAGAGTAAAATTTTCTATGCTATGGTGTTCTATAAAATAGTTTTGATTGTGTTTAGTATGGCGTTTTTTTGTGAACAAATACAATAATAAATAATTGTTTAATTATTTATAATTTCTGTATAAAATCTCCTTCGTTACATTTGCACTTGACTTATATTTAAATCAGTTGTATATCTTAGACGTTGGAGATTTTTGATTTCATAAGAAAAACTACTTTAAATATTATTCCTGTTACATCCTTTGAGTTTCATGTTCTTTGATGTAATAACGTTTGATATTATTAAATTCTATATAAAATTTAAATATTATGCAACACCGTTGTACAGTTAAATATTTGCATATTCAAGCTTTTTTTATTCAGATCATAAAATTATGCAAGAAAGTTTTCACCAGCTTTATATTTAAGAATATCCTTGGAAAAATTTGAATATATGCATTGTGACGCTGAACACAGGATAAAAATCGACGTTTTTTTAAAATGGCAATATTATGTAAATACGCTTGCACGAGATGAATCTCAACTTTGTAAAAGAGTTTTCGACTACAAACTATTTTTATATTATATATCGTTGTTTCAGAGATAATGTTTTATACAAGTTATATAAAATTTGTAGATTTGAAAGATTATTATTTCAGTATCTTAAAATTTGTGTGATTGAAGACAGTTACTGATAATTAGTAATATTAATCATTAACTCAATCTCAATATCAAATTAATTCAAATTGATAAATAGTAAGAGAAGTAAAAATTGTTTTTGTTGTTCCATTGAATATATTTAAAATAGTGATAAAGAATTTCGGAAATAAAATATTAAAAATGATAAAGAAATTAATTTTTCTAATTTTATTTTCCTTAATTTACTTTTTGTAAATGGCCAGCAATAACATTTTTCAACACATATCACATCTAATTATATGATTGATATATTCAATTTACATTTGGTGTTTTTTTAATACGTACTCATTATATACATACAATCGTTACAAATTTGTTTATTGAAATAATTTGAATTTAAGCTTCCATTATAATTAAAAGCTTATTATCAAATTAATTAAATGAGCAAACAAATGTGTAAAATATTAATAATATCATCAAATGCATCGATATTTTATACAATATTGGTTTTGCAAATTGCGTAACCACAATAAATTTATTAATATCATTTTTCGTTATAAGGCATAACCTGAATTTAATGATAATAGTTCTTATATATTTTTCATAATAATTTATATATTTTGTCGAATTTAAATAATTCAAAATTTTTTTTACGTATTTTAATGTGTTTGCAAAATACAGTATTAACTATCAAAATAATATTTTGATTATTTTATATTAGAGCTTTGTTAAAAATATATGAAAAAGTCGCATCCCTAAAAAATGTATCTCATGTTTTTTTCTCTTTCAAAATATTCCATATTAAACATATCATCTGTACAAGCATACGCTCTCAACATATTTAAAAATGTATACCAATGGTAAAGTTTTGGGTTATCCTCGAAGTTCTTATAGACCATCGTAGCATTCGGTCGAAACCCAGAACTTAATCGGATTTTCCATTTGGGGGGAACCTGTGAAGCACAAACTGATACGAAGGAGTTTTTATAATACTATTGTCTGCGATTTTCCTAACAAGATTTCGAATGTAAATATTCTTCGCTTTGTAGATTATGGATATAGTATTTTTTCTTTTCTGCACAAATATTTGATATCATATTTTTTAATAAAATATGAAATTGTAATAAGTAGCACAGATTTGGCTAGCAGTTTTATTTATGAAATAGAATTATTATTTATTTGAAAAAAAAAAGAAACTAAAATAAGATATAAACAACAAGCGTGTTGACTTATAAAACACAGACGATCTGATCTGATTGTGAATGTTACATTTCATTTTTACTTCTAGATTCTGTGTTTTTTAAATTATTTGTGTGTATTATGTACTCAAGAAAGCTTAAATGGGTTCTTGAAACATATGCAAGACCTATCAAACTGAACTTTATTACTTTTTGATAATTGGATAGATACTTGTAATACTATTATCATCAGATTCATGAACTCTCCTAGGACTTACAATTCATGAATATTTTATTCTGTGTAATATTTGGGTGTGTGCGAGAGCACTTGAATAAGGCATTTGCTCTACTCAAAGTAATCGGGGGTATTGTGCTTGAGATTCCGCAGGGTCTCTTGTGAGTTTCTAATATTACAGGTAAACGTAAGTGCTCTTGGGTTGTTTCTGTCTAATGAGCCATATTTAGTGGCTATCCAGAACGAATGAATTTTAGATTAAAATTTATACTCGGTGAAATTGAGCCTCAAAGTCTAATGCTTTTGAAATAATTAAGTTTGTTCATTTCACTTCATGACATACTTTTTACCAACCGAAAATCATGCAACACAAACTGTAATATTTAAAAACCTTTTATTTAGTTCGAACTTTTGTACTTCGAATACTTTGTACCCTTGTGTAAGCTTATAAGATAGTAATTTTATATAAGATAGTAAACAAGTTTTTACTATCCCATATAATATAAATAACTGATACACTATACTAGATATACCAGATATCAGATATGAGTAAATAAAATTATTAAAAAAAATCAAACATTAAATATTAAAATCATCTTAAAAATATCTATGCATATCTAAGTAATCAATTTATGTATCAAATAGTAGTATATAAAGTACGACGAACTTTACATATAAACTAAAATTCTACAAAAGTTAAGTTAAAATTATTAAACTGTTTACATAAGCAAAAATCAACGTTCAACTGTTATTAAAATATTAAAAATAATTCAAAGTAACGAAATTGGGGCAAAAGATTGCGGAACGATAAGAAACAATTTCCGACAGTAATCACGTGGCGCAAAAAATGTTTTTATTAATTTCGTTTGCATAATATTTTACTCATTGCACCATAAAAGGGTTGAATCTAAAATCGAAACGTACACGAAATCAAAAATATGCTAAAATAATATAATTTCGTTTTTCATTTTTGGTAGCAGAATAAAATAATGATATTTTTTAAATAATGAATAATAAGAAATGCATGAATAAATTATTAGTCTTTGACATAATTACAAAAGTTCTATACATTTCAAGTAATATATGTTTGTTTCATTAAAAAAACTTGAAATTTATATGGGATTCTATCAATTTCAATAATCATCTTCAAGATATTATCAAAAAATTATTTTGTGAATGAATATCGAAATAATGATAATTTTTCTACTTTTTCATGAGTATCTATATTGTTCAGTCATTTAAGCTTAAATTAGGCAAGAATCTCGGAATTCGAGATTTCCAGCTGTAAGTCTGTATATACTTGTATATTGACATCCTAAAGTTGTCTCGGAACCTACATATGGTAGGGAGTCAATACCATATGAAAGTTTTGAGACAAGTTTAGTATGTGAATATAAAAGTATTTACAGCTATCTCGAATTTCGAGGTAAACTTACTATAATGAGGGGGCTAATACGTTAAAATCAGTAGACATCGTTTTTTTTATATAATCCAATTATTACTTTAAAACTTTTTTCAATTATCAAAATAATACAAAAGTTACAATTACCAAAAGTGGTTCACATTCCCCTACCATTGATCACACAAATAATTGCTGTTCATAAATCTTGCTGGGAGGTAGCAAAACTGCTATAATGACGTTTTGGTTTATTATGAGCATTATTATTTGTAATGATGTATATTTTCGGATGTAGAGAAGTGTCATAAAACCGTACTAATAATTGACAGGTAAAATAATCTTTCGTATTCCATATAACGCTCGAAAGTACATCAATTATTTTATTACAACAATCAATGTTATCGATTTTTTTATTTGCATAGATTTATTGCCGATCAAAATAATATACATTTTTTAAGGCAATATGCTGAGTGTAAATGCACTTAAGAGATTATCTCCTATGAGCTATCTCGTTTTTTTATTTTTTGATATTTTATTTAAGATCGTATGTTCATATTTTTTCAAACTTCGAGTGGGAGTTTCCTCGCTTAATTCTTTTAAATATTTGTTCGGTGACCTGGTAATTTTTCGTGGAATTTTTTGCTCCTTTCTTTTATCATTTCATTAATAGTTTTAATTTTTAAATCTTTATGTAGAGTGTTAGTGTACCAGGGTGCGTTTGTTATCAATTGCAATCATTATAAATACTCACGTTTCATCGTAAATTTCCGATAGAAAAAAATATTCATCTTTCGTAACAATAACGAGTTTTGTTCAATATAAATTAAATACCAAAATAAGAAAAGTTCATTATAAAAAGCTTTAGATAATTTTACTCACCTCGCCCGAACTTCGGGATGGGCAACCGCAGCATGCAACGGCGAATACGGTGGAGAGTTGCTGTCGCTACTAAGCGACATAGGCCATGCCAGTTGTAAGAGCGATTCTCGGACGAACACTTCCCAGGGACTATAGGCTGGAGATCCGCCGCTATCACCGCTATGAACGCGCTCTGAACGTTGGAGACGCGGCCGCGCGCGTCGCCATTCACGGTCCATCTGAATTGTAGAAAATTTTATTATAAGATTACAAGAGATAAATTTTTTTAAGATATAGTATATCTGATGTACAATATAGTAAACGACAGTAAAGCTAAACACTAGGGTTTGTCGGTTTTCAAAAGCCGGTCTTTTGGCGAAAACTATGGAATGGCGAAAACCGGTTTTTTAGTGAAAAAAGTCGGTTTTTACTGTATAAATATAAAATATATATAGACAAACCAACATATATAGCCAAATATAAAAGATAGATGAAAGCGTTATGATTCTTGAAATCATATCGGTTCAGTAGCATTTGATATCTTATGCAATGGTTTCCAGAAAGGGTTTGTATATATTACAATTTAGATTTCTATACCAGTGTATATATTACTTCAAATCAGTGTGACTTCTTCTTGAAGAAGTAACTTCCTCTACTTAAATTTCGAAAAAAAGAGTTTTTATCCTTAGAAGCCACAAATAAAAGAAGAAAAAACTTAGAATAATTATATCAGGCTTTAAAAACAATTAAGCAATAATTCGGTCGCAAGTATGAGAGTATTTTCTATTTCATTAAATTTTGTGAGTAAACAAAGGACACGTTTAAGTAGTAATTCTATTGACGTTATTAGTTTTTTGAAATCATATTTTAGTAAACAAATAAACAATTAGAATGTTTAAAATTAGCTCTAAATCACACTAAATTTGCGGATAGATAACAGAATATTCGACCAAAAAATTATTTTCTATATAAAATTCGAAAACTAAAACCGGTTTTCTGAAATGTCGGTTTTTGTATAAACCCTAAGAAACATTTAACTGGCCAGCAAGTGTTGTAATTAATAACATGCTTATGAATATCAATATATATTGATATAGGTATGATATAAATATAACATATATATATATATATATATATATATATAAATTTCAAATATTATAAATTTCAGAGCAAACTCGTTTAGAAACTTTATAATGTGTTTATAATTCATGCCTCAAAACTTATAATTTTTCCGGTTAATATGTAATACCAGCATTTATAATGTGTACATTTCCATTATATTTTATAATATTTTAATCATAAACTATATTCCAGTACGGAATAAGTTTAGTACTTTTATCACTTAAAAAATTAAATTATCAACAATAATATATTAATTTTTATGTAAGTTTTATCGAAGCAATTATAAAACATAATTACTTAATTTTTTAACAAAAATTTGTGCAGATAAAATGTAAATAGTACCTATGTACCCTGTTCATTTAATATTTTTCATGAACAGTCTATTATGTAACAAAAATAGCATTGTTATCAAATTTTATATCTCTTTTCATATATCTATACATTATTTCTGTAAAATCGTGCCACTTTTACCATACAAATGGTAAAAGTTCATTCAAAGCTAAACGCAATATCATGTTCTGCAAGCATTATAATTTTTATTCATACTCTCAAGTATGAATTTTATCATGAAATATGTGGCTATATTTAATTTATAAATAAAGTTGCGCGTGCAGCTACACAAAGGTTATAAAATGCAGCCAACATTCTTCAAAATTAAAATTCTTTGATAATAAAAATTGTACTTTGATTAATTTTACAATTTAAATGTCAATATCAATATAAATACATCAATAACACAATAATTAAATAAAATCATCATTATGTGTATATTGGGTATAATATTATATTGTGAGTTTATACGAAATGGGTAATCATGTGAAAATTCTTTACCTACTCTGTTTAAATAATATTTTACATAAACAGTCTATTATGTAGCTAAAATAGCATTGTTATCAAATTTAAATTCATTAACAGCTCTTTTGTATAAAATAGTTGTGTAAAATCGTGCCACTTTTACCATACAAATGGTAAAAGTTCATTCAATGCTAAACGCAATATCATGTTCTGCAAGCATAATAATTTTTATTCATACTCTCAAGTATGAATTTTATCATGAAATATGCGGTTATATTTAATTTATAAATAAAGTTGCGCGTGCAAAATGTTATAAAATGTAGCCAACATTCTTCAAAATTAAATTTTTTTGCTAATAGTTTGATTAATTTGAAAAATCTTGTAATACCAGCGTTCAAAATTAGCGTCGTATGAGCATTTTGTGCAAGTATGTTTAATAGATACATAAATTTTTACACAAACACGCTGTGAATAATTTTGATATTTTTACGAGTTGTCCTAATGATATCATAATTTATATAAGTGTGAGAAATACATTCTACGATCCGCATTTGAATGTTGAATATGAAGAAACCAAGTTAAATGTTGGGAATTACAATGATGTAGTATCAGAACACTATTTCATTATATATGAAGCTGGAGTAAAATTAGCGTTTGGCTTCACTATTACGTGAGTCAATGTAATGACAAAATTTTTTATTGACAATATAGTTAATAAGAATATTTTCAGTTAAAACAACACTTTCGGAGCGGCAACGAGGAAAGTTTTTTCTATATACTTCTTAACTTACAATCAGCTAACGTCTTTGGGCAGAGCACTCATCATTTATTTATATATAATATAGTTTTATGAATAAATGAAATTTTAAAATAGTCATGGCAGTCGTCTACACACTTGGCTTAATCAATCATTATCACCAAACTACAAAAACCGTTTCACGATAAACTTATTTGAATAAGTAAATATTATATGAATATAGTCGACATTGTTGGCGCAGAAAATTATTATATATTTTATTATTTTTAGTTGATTGAACGGCTTATAATTCTGTATTCACAGTCGTCGCCTAAATTGGCTCGATAATTCAATCTGAAACTAGCGTGGTCCTGAATAATTCAAGTCATGAAATATCGTTCCAGTCTAGAACGCTCTTTTGCATTATGCACAGCACTGAAACCCCTAGAGTACTTATGTTCACCGCTATAACAACTGCACAACATTAATACAATTTTAATCTTTGCTATTGAAACTCCATGGTTCCAAACTGAAATTGCTTGTTGATTTATGAGTAAAAATATAATATAAAATAAAATATAAAACTTTCCCTCGGCCAACGTTGAAAAGGATCATAAGTACGACGCAAATGAATTATTATTTATGGGTCTCTATGGTAAATGTTCAGTTTTTCACTTTTCGATTGAAATGTAATTAAAAACGTATTTTTATTTCCGATTTTATACGGTTTATTTGAGTATTTTACAACATCTAATTTTGATTATCTAGGTTGAAACTTAGAAATAAACGACAAACACCAAACTTCAACTTAAGGGGCACAACTAGTGTAACCGCCTAAAAAAAGATGATTTTTGGGAATTTATATTAAAAAAAATTTCATCAATCATTTCAAAACAATAAGAATATATTTACACATGTTTTAAAAATACATAGTCAAATTTTTGAAAAAAAAAATTAAATATTTTTTAAATTATCGTCGATCTCCAACGGCGCAAAAAAAGACCCTTCACTGCTGCAGTGATTCCGGCCTTCCACGTGGATAAAATCTCAAAAAAATTCTCGTTAAAGTAGATAATATTGTCTGTAAAATGACTTACAATAATAAAAAATAATTGAAAATTGACAAAATGGCGGCGTTTTAAAAAAAAGTCGAATTTTACCCAAAATTTTGGTCGTTTTTGGACTGCCAAAATTCGATTTTTGATCCGATCAAAAAATTGATAGTTTATTTTACGGAGAACTATATATAGAACATGTAAAAAAAATTGATAGTGATCGGATCATTTGTTTTTGAGTAATCTTTGCAGCAAATTCGGAAAATGCTGTTTCGAGAAAAACGCGTATAAAGATAAAATGATCATTATACTATATAGTATATATATATACTCTTTAAATGGCTGTGACTCAAAAACTATTTAAGATATCAATTTAAAATTTTGGTATGTTATTTTTGAAGGTATAACCTATCGAAATATGAAAAAATAGAAAATTCGATTATTTAAAAATTTTCACACTGGGTGTGCTCCTTGAAACATTATGACTCAATTAGCCAATTTAAAATATTGCTCATTATTATGATTTATAAGTGACAAGCACCAAGGATAGAGCATCTTTGCTCACATCTATGATATTTATGGAAAACCTGATTCAATTCAATTAAAAAATGTGTATCATTATATAATGTAGTTTGCACTTTAAGGGAGTTATACAAAGTGTTTTACCCTCCTCTCTCAAAAACTAGATATTCTGTTTCAATGAATTTTATATCCATTATATATGTACGTGTAAAACATGTGAAAAAAAAAATAGTTTTGGTAGTTAAAAAATCACAACAATATTTAGCAAAATGAATTACACCTATGGGTCGATCATAGTTTGACATGGCGTGTTTTCCATACCAAACTTTTTCTTTCGTGAATTGTCAAGTACCTAGATGTTAGGACTATCATGATTCCTACATTTGAGGTAAAAAATTTCAGTTAGCTTTTTTATGTAATTGTATACCATCGATACGTCAGTCTGTTCGTGTATGTGCTTTGTAGAATAGTAGTATCTTGTCAGTGGGTCTCTCGATTTCTCCAGTGCTAGTCTCAGTGCCTTGTTCTGTATTGTCTGTAAGATCGAATCTGTGGTCGTATTCCATATAGTAGAAGCGTGCAACAGTACTGTTGGAGAACCCAGGGGAAAGTTTATATAATATAATTATAACCTTTGCACTTCCGTTACTATGTAATCAAAGTATTTAATCATTCATTCTTGTCCCTAATATTTGCATTATGCTAAATTTCCACCACCGTTTCGAATATTTCATTTTCAAATCTCTTCTAGAGTTTTGGATTAAAATCAAATACATAATGCATTTACACTATACATTCACTAAATTATTGGTCTTTTTTTTATAAAAGCATGTATATATATATATATATGTATATATATATATATATGTATATATATACATATATATATATATATGTATATATATATATATGTATATTATTGTAACGACAATCGGTATTGTCGTCAAAAGGGTTGCATAACCACCAGTGCAATGACGCCCCACCACGCCCAATAGGGATGCCAATATAA